GGTCGATGTCATTTCTGTATACTCTTCTTCCCAATTCAGATCTTCGGAACTCTCTGAGGCCGTCCGTTTTCTTGAGCCAAGTGCACCGATAAGACGAGTTTGAACTAAGGCAGGTGTGCGCGAGGTGTACGTGCTCGTCGTGCGTGGTAACGTTGACGACGGCGGAAGGATCATGACTGTTTCAAGAGCTTCTGAAATTGGTGACCAAGCCAGCAAGGAGTCCGCGTAATCGTCCAGGTCCATGGAGCACCAACACCCAAGATCGATATCGGACTCGATCGTCTTTAGTATTGTAATTAATTGCGCTAGAGGCAATTCGTCGTATCGCATCTGAAACGAAAAAAAAAGAGCACATTACACATATCATATTACCTTACCGTCAGTTTCTTCCACCATCTCACCAGTAAATGTCGTGTGTCCCTGCACGTCAACCATAGTATCAACAGTGTTGTCGAACAGGGAATCTCCGTACTCGATTCCGGAACAAATACTAGAAATCTCGCTAACAACGTCAAAGTCATCGCGGTAAACGGACCGAATTTCTTCCTGCTCTGCTCTATCACCGATAAACGCATCATACTCATCAGCGATTCTCTCCGAGTGACTAGCTCGGTCGTCCATCCATTTAATAACTTTGTCGTTGTCTCTTCCATGTCTATTACCTAAATGGGATACAAGCATAAATGGTACGACATAAACAAACGTGAAAAAGAACTTACCGCGCGAGTCGTCTCCGAAGTAGGAATGGCAATCGTCACTCGTTTCCGTGCCATCACTTTGTCCATAGTCGCTGCTGCCTTTTTCGAAATTTTTTTGCCGGCGACACCAATTCCAGCGTTCGCGTTCTTTTGTCCTCTGGTTTGCCGAACATCGATGGCGAGTTTCTTTCAGGATCGAATCTTTCTCCGCCATTGTCGAAATATTGCTCGTATTCGTCAATTGTTATTATCGAATGAGAACTGTCAAGAGACTATTGTAGACTCGTGCCTCGCGGCGCTCTTTTATGCTGATTTGAACGCGCGCGCAATTTTCCGAGCTTGGTGCTTGCTCGATAAGAGATGGAATCTCTTATCTGACGACGACGACACAAGGGGGGTTACCCTACCTTACCTGTGCACATTATTATTTTACTTAAGAATTGTGCTAATTCGCACACACAAAAATTCTATAATGTCTCTTTTTATATAAATAAATAAAATTTCGACGCAAAATGATTATATAACAATATCGCACTAAAATGTGTTGACAACAACACGGAGCCGCGGCTTATAAAAACGCATACAAAGAAGTCGAATCAACACTATAATAACGTACGTGCGCACTGTACTGATAACTATTGAAGTTCGGGTGACACATCGGTAGTGCGTACAACTCTTCAGTACTTAGCTAAAAGTTAGTGAGGTATCAATAAAGAAAAAACAAATTATTAAAAAACAGAAATTAACCATTTTGAACAATCATATTAAATCTAATATATCGGGTAAACTATTAAATTTTAAGATTACCAAAAATCATTAGCCAATATCAAAATAAATTTATACTTGTTTTACACATTTAACAGAGCTAAAATATACATTATTATTGCAAAGAAAAAACATACTTTTTGTTTTTAAATTTAAAAAAGTATTAAATGCATCTCTATCAATTAAAATTTAAATACCTTAGATATTATAAAAATTTAAACAAACAAATTAATTATTACTTACATTTTTAGTATCTGTGACTTCATAATCAGCTGTGGTTTTAAGTCTTTGGGTAACGTCGTAGAAAAAAAATAATTTGTAATTTTTTGTGAATTGCCATTGCGTTTATTATATTCCATGTCGATATAATTTAATAAAATAATTTGCACAATCAAAAGCACCGTAATAACACAATTAGGTATAAACGAATAGTTCAACCAAATATAAGTATAACATAACAAACTACATTATTAATGAAATTTTTTTTGGATGGAATTATCTTTATATATTTTACTGTTTGCTAAGAATCTATTTTTAACAATAGTAATACATGGCGCGCACTCCTTACGCTCTTATTCTAATATCTATTTATTTTGTTAAGTGGTAATTGAATACCACTTGATGCCTATGATTCAATCTGAAAGAAAACTTGGGGCATAAATGATTTATTATACAGATATCTCTACTGTTCTTCCTAAGAATATTATTTTTTATGGTAAATTGATTGTGTCATGATGGATCCATACTAAATAACATTGAATAAAATAGTATAAGAGGATTTTTCTTTAAGTGTGTATATTAATAAAATGGTGTTATTATGTATTTTTTTAAAGAGAATATTAGTTTATTCTATTAAAAACGAAAATGTTGTGAAATTATTCAAGAATATTTATTTTACCAAAATAATAAAAAAGTTCACTAGATGTTGCAGCTTATAAAAATGTATACAACAAGGATGTTGAATAGTTAAAAGTGTAGGATGATATTCGTTAGATCATCGAACACTATCCGACTTGTTAGTGAGGCTGTTTGGCCTTTTTATAGTTTATTAAATTCCCTCAACTTGGGGAAATTATCATCAGCGCTTTTTACTAAATAGATTTTTATTGTAACAAAATTAAACATTACATTACATAATTATTATTTTAAGATAAGACACATGTTTAATAATGAGTTGAGATGTATACAACTAATAAGACCAAGTGTACAGTAATATAAGTATTATGATAGATAAATAATTTGTTTTTATAGAAGTAATATAAAATACAGATTATAAATTTTTCATTTATATATGAAAGATGCATAATGAAAAGCATTGGACGTATTACGTCAGTACTTAGCTAAAAGTTGTATAATATTTTTGCTCATTTTTCGTAATTGTAGATTGGTTGAATAGGTTTCGAATAACTTAAAGGGGCTACTGTTTTACTGTCAAATACGAGTTTGTTTGGTGGAATATTTCACACGCCTTTTTGAAATTTTCCAAAATGATTTGTGGTTATTGGCAGTGTACTTGTGAGATCTAAAAGTATTTTAAAAATAAATGTACTCGCTAATAGTCGTTATATTTTTAGATTTCACAGGTAAGCTTTCAATAACTGTTTCAAAAATCAATTGCCTACTAGTACTTCAAGCTCTTTATATGTTTTTATTTTCCCTTTTATAAAACTCCAATTTGGACAAACTAAAGAAAGTTGTAAAAATGTATCTATTGACGCAATACATTATTTCCATTATTTATTATTTTTTCCATTATTCTTTAAAATGTTCATATTAGTCAAAAGTAACAACAAGCATTATTTATGTCCATAATATAAGATCTATTAACTAAAGCAAACAAATTAAGCTTATGACCGGAAACTAGGCAATACTATTAACTAAAGATTACTAACCTAAATAATAACATAAATATAAAGAGTAGTAGTTTCTATTCTTTATTCCTTATATTATTTAAAACTTAGTCAAGTAATGCAAATGGCCAAAAATTAATCTACTTCCGGAATGCACTTGTACAATTTTTAAAATGACATTTATAAACAAGAGTAACAGTAATCATATCAAATGATACTTATGTTATGCCTAAAACATTAAACATTTAATGTTACTGGCTTAAATAGATAAATAAATTAAAAAGTTTTAAAAATAATTATTGAAAATGCGTATGGTTTATACAATTATAAGAAAAAAATTTTAAAAAAGTTGTGTATCTTATTGTAACTTATAATTTTTTGTGTTGAATATTTGAATAATAACATTAAAATTATTTGAATGTTAATTTTCTCTGTTTTAATATTTATTTAAACTTATTGTTATGATTTTATATTATATAAATTTAACTTTTGTTTTGGTTTTTTTTTTTTTTTTTTTGTATGTTCATTATTTTATTGTAAAATATTGTATTATTAATGTTTACTTGTTATTTATTTAAATAAATCTGTATTAAATTTATTATATTAAAATTAAGTTATTTCATTTGTAATTCATAATGACATTTGACTTCACTGTTTAGAGGTGTAAAATTAAAAAAATATAATTTTTATTTAGTGTTTGAGTAAATTACCGTTAATAATATTAGAAATAAGTTTTTCGATTAAATTGATGTTACAATTGATATTGAAGTACTATACAGTCGGAGCCTTGAGGTATAATCACGTCACTTCTCAGATATTTTTGTTAAGCCCTTACAAGATCTGAAGGGGTTTGAATGAAATTTTAAATTCATTACCTAAATATAAACACTAATAATTAATTAAATTTCAACTGGTAAGGCGAAATAAATTTACTTTAAAATCTACTAAGAATTGTTTAATATTAAATTTAATTAATTTTGCCAATTATTATTTTTATAAATTTAGCCTGTTTACTTAAGCAAAACGATATTTTGTAGTAGCAGACTTCACTTGTTGTAACTTCATACTTGTGGTTCACTTAGATATCAGGTTGGAATTAAGATGTGCAACTTAATATAAGAAAATATTAAATCAAATTCTGGCTATCCATTTTCATAATTTATTTTGTATACATTTTTACAATAAACAATTAAAATAAGGGTTTTTAAAAATACTTAAATTATAATATTTTTAGTGACTGAAGTGCACAAAATATTTAATGTTCGTAACTACAAAGTAAATTGTATACAAATTAACAATAATAATTTTACTTTACTAAAATTTGAAAAAAAAAAAAAAAAAAAAAACTATTTTGAATCAATATTGTTTATATGTAATCAAATTCTATATGTGTCAAATAGCATTAAATAATAAATTTCTTAAATAGGTCGTTCCATATGAAATCACAATGTGTATACAGCTATAGTTCAGAAATTTTTGACATTTTTATCATTGGCGTCTTAAGGTCATTGAAAACAAAAATTGTTTTTTTTTTACCAGATAGCGTAGTTTTTATAATTTAAAACGCTTCTAGAGCCTATAAAATCACATCCAAATAAGCTATGAAAAATTGTTTCAGTTATGACAAGGCAATAAAAAAAATAAACATCACTCATAATCTTTTTTTATTATCATTATTTATCATTTATTAACCAAAACGCTGAAACTACAATAAATTTATTCAATAAAGAACAATTTTATCCGTCGAATGTAACCAATATATAATGATTAAGTCTTATAACAAAAAAAAAACTTTTTCTTCATAATAAAAAGTAATTTGAAATTATCGTTAAGAGGTTAGTATCTATATTTTTTTGATATTAATATCATTATCTAATTTTGTTGGTATACCATAGTCAAAATTTGTGAATATTTAAATACTAAATTAAATTTTTTTTTCGATATCGCTGAAATTCGGTACGCTATTTATATCCAAAAATATATTGTTTATTAACCCTAATATTATATGAGTACATATCATTTAAAAATTAATATAATTAAATGAAACCCTCGTAGAAAAAAATATTGCTATTGTTTAAATTAAAATTTTAAAAATATTAATAAGTCACATATAAAAGACGAACAATATTTTTTGAAATAATTACAAAATATACATTCTTTAGATAAAATATAAATATTAAAAGTACAACAAAAGTCCTTAAATAAAATTTGGCAGAATAATTTAAGAATTTCAATTAACAAAGATCTTAGTAATCTAAGTATACGAGTTTCATTGTGTTATTATTCTAATGGCAAAAAAGCTTTAAGAATACTGCTACACTTTTTTTTGCGAACTTCATTATTTATTTTAGATAATGATACTTCATTTACAATCTGTAAAAAAAACCATACACACATTCATGCATAGATTTAAAATAAATTGTTTTATTGATATTTATACACACCTTAGTTGATAATTTTGATTCAACAACAGATGAAACAGTATTTGATGAACTTGTATTTCCAAGAAGATATGAAAATGGATTAGTAATTGAAGCTTTAGCGGTTATTGTAGTTAATGATTTTATTGAATTATTATCACCATTATCGTTTTTTCCTAATATTTTTTTTTTACTATCTACCAACATAAGGGTTGCAGCAGCTCTAGTACGACTTCCTTTCTTCATCATAAATGATCCTTTTACAACTGCCTCATTGGCCTAGAAAATTACTAACATTTATACATACAAATTTAATTAAAAATTGTATTATTGCTATAGTCAAGTTTTGACCACCATTTGTTATCTCAGTCAGACAAAAGAATTTTTTTTAAATATTTTTAGGCAAATTATATTAAAAATTACAGTACAGTAGGTATCCAGCAAGGTATAGTTGAGGTTCTTTTAGAGTAGTAATATTAATATTTTGTGATGTAAAATATTAAACTACTATGATTTAATATTTAAATTTAAATGACCTTACATAAAGTATATAACTTATTGATGTATACATATATTAAAGTGTATTTGTTAAACAATTGATAATGTAATGTTAATTTCTGTAAGGTAATAATTTTGTGATGAATCAAAAATCAAAAATCAATATTAGAATTTTTAAATTCAGTAATAACTCAATTAAATTGTTCTTAGTAATTTATTATTGCACTACCTTTCATATTTTATTTTGTTGTGCAATAATTATCAATCTTTCATTGAAAACTTGCCCAGTTGACTATTACAATACCTGTTAATGATTCAACCGGTCCTAAATGTCAATAATATATGTGTATACTGATTTCGGCATTTTTCCCCAACCAGTTCAGTGACGTGTTCATTGCATTGAACACCTGATTGTTTAGTTCAAATGTATTTTTTCAATTACAATCTCTTTCCTGTCACACACATGACATTTTACATTTGTGTGATTCAAATTGTAATGTCTGCTTAATTTTTACTTTTTAGCCTTGACAATAAGCTATGGATGAAGATCAATTATTGGTTACGTCATTTTAACATTCCCACAGTAGCTTGGTTAATGATTGAATTTTTACAAATAATGTGTTGTCAGCAAGGTGTATATCTTAAGTATTAGATTTTATTGAGAGTTGGGTTTTATTAAAGAAAAAAAGACTGCTAACACCCTAGGCTGTATCACCAAATATATTACTTAAAATTAAATAAAATTTTTATTATAAAAATAGTAATAATAGATGCCAGACATGAAAGAATTATTATTTTATATCTGGCATCTATTATAACAAATATTTTTGTTTTTTAATGAAATTTAAGAAAAATTTTGGTAATTTACAATTTATACATACTATTTCAGTCTTTTTAGCATTTATAAAAGAAATATTTTCCAACGTAACATCTTCTTGTTTTTCATCATCTTCATCCTGTAGAATAACATTATTTTTTTATCTTAAGTGATAAGGAATTATTAGGGATAAGTTTAAGGGATTTGAAACTTTGCAATTATAAAGTTTGTTTAAGCCTTGTCCAAAATATACAAGTCTGTGCAAATATAGTATAGGTGATATATAAACACAGAACCATGGATATTTTTTTTGGTTTGGGAAATTATTCTTCTTTTACATCTACCATGACTTAACTACTTATTATAATATAATGTTAAGTTAAAAAAAAAATTATAAAAATATCTACTTAACATTGATAAAATCAAGATGGCTTAAACAAATTTTATAAATAAATTAAGTCCAGTGGTCTAGTGATATGCTGAACTTTAAATAATAATTATAATCTCAGAGAGTGATTCAAATAAGTATGTACAGTTTGACTATAATTATACTATACAAGTGATACACTATTTATGTATCTCAAAATAGCTAAAAGTATGAGATAAATTGTAATTTTTTTTTTAGAAGTTAAGAGTTAGTATCCTCACACTTAAATTAAAATAAAAATAGTTGTATCCCCTTCTTTCCTTTAAAATTGTATCATCTTTGGTTTTTCTAATGGAAACATACATATTTAACTTGCTTACAAATAAGAAAAAAACTGGTCATTAACAACTTTTGAACCAGCATTTTGGAAGTTATTAACACTTTAAAAACTGAAGGTGAAAAGTGAGACTATTTATTTTATTTCTAAGCATTATAAACCTTACTATTCTTCCTATATGGTATTAATAAAGTTATTAATAAAAATACTAGTAGCTTTAAAAATATTGGTTCAAATGTTGTTATTTACTAGTCATTTATTTAGTTAAATCATTTTTTTATTCTTAAGAAAAATTTAACATGCACGTTTCCATTTAAAAAATTAAAAATGATACAATTTAAAGGTGAAATAAGAAGGGATAGGGCTATATTTTTTTTTTATTAATGTAAAGTGTCTAGAATACTAATAACTTTTGTAAAGAAAAAATTATACTTAATCTTATGTTTGAAGATATTGCAGAAGACAACATAGATATCCTGTATAATACAAATACAATCAAACTATAAATATTTCTAATAACTAAATACTAAATATAACTTAATACCTCGGCTGCCAAATAAGAGTCACGAATATGCCTCTCTTTTCTCCAGACTGCTTCATTAATATCTCCACCATTTTGATTATCATCATCATCATCATCATCATTGTCTTCTCCTTCAGATGAAGAAAATAGTGGTTTCTTATATAAACTAAGATCATCTAAAATAGTACACAAAAATAAAATACATTTTTTTTTATTAATTTGGTCTTAAATAAAAAAAGTAAATGACATTAAACTTATAACCAAATCAGATAATTAGCTATTTTTGGAAATTATAATTAATTAATAGATAATGTAAATATATGTTGAGAATATTAAATATAATTACAATATTCTGGTAACATTTCTGAAATTTTTTTTTAATAATGTGTTACACTATAAAAGACTTCTATGTAAACTAAGAATCCAACCTAAAAGACAACTTGGGAAATGAATTTTGAATACATAAATAAACTCTAATTGTTCCTACAAACTTCACAATGAAGTTTACAAAACACTTTGTATTTATTGTTTAAACTTTGCACATATAAAATGCACACTTTACAAATATTGTTAAAAAAAAAAAATTGGTTATTTCAGCATTATAATTTTTAAGTATAATTACCTCCAGTATCTTCCCATTGAAATTTTCTTTTTCGACCCAAGTCATTATGTAAATTACCATCTTCAAGGAGCATTTCTTGAAGTTCAGATATCTGACGCTGATCATCGTCCAGCATTTGACGCCTTAAACATGCATTACACATAAAACATTTCTAGAAATATTTTTTTATGTCTGCATACATACATATAGATTTTCCCAAGAGAATCACGAACTAATGCATCATCTTCACCATTATCATCAACAATCATTTTTAAGTCTTCTTCGTTTGCTTCGTCCTCAACTTCATCTTCATCATCCTCCTGTTTCCATCCTCCTTCCTCATCATCAGATAACTCAGCTTCAACATCAAAAAAATCTGTTATTGCTTCAGATTTTTCTTGAATAACTTGATCATCAATATCACTATCTTCCTTAATAATATTACTATCTTCTTGTTCAGCTTCATTGTCTAAAGGTCTACAATAAAAAACAACATATTTTTATATATTGTGTCAAATTTTTGCTTAATTACTATCTTAAAATTTTTTAATACGAAAATTTGAATTATTTATCCATTTAATTAATTATTGAAATTGGTTTTATACTAAAATTTGAACAAGTTAAAATAGTGTATTTTACTAAAACAGTTGATAGTTCTATGTATGTTAATTTTCTTTTTTATCTTTTACTTACACATCTGAATCAAATCCATCTGAAGAATCATCATCATTTTCCTATAAACAATTTTTTAAGATAAATATTAAACATAAAAAAGTGTAAATAGTTAAGTTAATAAAATAAAACTCTCAATATAGAAGTGAAAAAAATCAAGTTATAATGATGAATTACTGTTGTTAATTCACATAACGAATGTACTTATTATAAAGGTGCTTATTGATGTACCTGTAAAGATTCCTGAGTACAAAATTCACTGCCTGAGCACATTTCTAATAATTGTTGAGTTGATGCTACATCAGTGTCAACAAAAGGTAAGTTTGAAACTTTTAAGTCAACATCATTAGCTATTGTATTATTATCATCACTATCACTATCTGATAGTACAGCGTTCCACTTTTTTTTTCTGTCTAAAATAAAAGCAGTATTTAATTTTTTACAGAAAACATTGTAGTTTAGTTGAAATTATAAAAAAATATTTTTGTGTTGACTAAATAAAAATTTAGGGGTTTAAAAATAACTTTTTTGTAAGTAATTTTGTACAACTATACCAAATTTTCAATACAATATTGATATTATTGACTTTTTTACAATAGATTTTTTATTAAAGTATCAAAATTCATACAAATAAAATGTTTTGTATCATTTTGATTAAATTGTTTTTAGTTACTTAAATATATTTGAATATTCTTTTGGGTTGTCATTTGAATAAAGCTATAATCTAATATTAAAGCTAATATATTTTTTCTCTTATATATGGTAATCAATAGGGACAGATTGACAAGCCGTTTAACAAAGTGGACCAGTACTTCATGAATTGACCACCCAAGTACTATAAAAGTTCTCATTTCGAAGCTCTAAACCCCCTCCATATTTATGACATCACTATTTTTTTATATATTAAGACTGTACAATAATAGTACAGGATTGTTCAACCTATAGTATTTTGTACATGAAAAGCTCACAGCTTATATACAAATAAAATGTATCTTTATTCAAAAACTTAAGATTATTATTAGTATTATTTTAAAACCAAATATTTTTATTATATTATAGTTAGACTAAAAAAAGAAAAAAACCAAGTTTATACTTAGGAACAAATTTTTTCTTTTTTATATAATTTCTATTTAACAATATTTAATATATACAAATATATATAAAGTTGATGAACCTAAATAATTAGTATTATACTTCATTTTTTTTTCTATAATATTAAGTATCTTTAAACTTACTTTTGTAATTGTCATTAACTGTTTCAGAATCTGATGACAATAAATTTAAAACTCCAGTTTTAATTCCTACACTGCTATCACTGTTGCTCATACTATTGTCTAATTCTGAATTGTTACTTTGATCATTCATGTCACAATTACTTTCTTCTGATTCAGATTCTGTATTCATGTAAATAATTAAATTATGAATTATTTGTAATCAAATACAATTAAAGAAATTATATTTTAATTAGTATCATGTCTGAAGATGCACCCTTAGCAAAACTATATATACAAAAGAAATCAATGATATGATAATTTGGTAATTAATTTCATATAAAAGGGTTCTCAATTATTAGATAGGAAATAATAAACTAAGTATAACTATACCAACATTTTAAATTCAAATTAAATTGTATTAAGTTTTCTTTCAAAATAATTTGATTTAATTGTAGTGGTTATAACTAAAAAATATCAGAAACTCTCAGTTATTGTAACAATTTTTATTTATTTCTGTAGCATTTTGAAACTTTGAATTAAAATTAACTCTTATGTCAATAATTAATTTTAAATGAAGTTATTGAAAACTTTGTATGCTTCACCATCTAATATATTACACTATAAATATAGTAAGGACTTTTTCCAAAACAATTTGAATTTAAAATTTTGGTATAGTTAAACTCAGTTTTTTTATTTCCTACCTAATAATTGAAAATAGCATTTTATGAAATTAAATAACGAATTATCATATCATTGATTTCTTTTGTATACATATGTTTTGCTAAGGGTGCATCTTCAGACATGATACTAATTAAAATATAATTTCAACTCTAAAGGTAGAATAATAGTATCAAATTTTGTTACACCTATATATTGATACAATGATACATAGTATGGTTCCACAATTGTATAGATTGAAACTATCAAAAAACCAATATTTCTTTTTTTGGTTTATTATCAACTATTTAATTCACATCATTAAAATTAATTTCTTTTTTAGTATGTACAATAGGGTAATAATATTTAAACTTTTATGGGTTAACTAGATATAAAATTCTTACATATTAGGTAGGTACAATTTTACAAAATAATAATTATTTTTACCATTTATGTCATCTTCAACTTCACATTCTAAATTTATAAATTTATTTTTTCTAATTTTTTTTTCATGTTTACCTAATTTAAATAATAAATAAATAAAAATTATAATAAACTAAAATAATTTTGTTGAAATGCTTACTCTCATCTATTTCGCTCATATTGTCATCATCATCATCATTTTCACTTTCTTCCTCTTGTTCATCATCACCATATAATTCTTCATCTTCATCTACAATTGCATTTTCTTCAAAATCTTGTTTCTTTTTGTCTATTTAAAAACATAAGTTAAATGTATAACAAGTCAAAATGATTTGTAAATAAGGACTTAGTTGGTGTCACTACATTTACGCGTTAGAATATCAGAATATCATAAAACATTATAGATTATTTCTATAAATAAAAATTTACATCAAATATTCTTTTCTCCAGACCTATTTAAAACAAAGAAAAATATCCAAGATAAAAATTAGTATTTTTACAAAACATTTATTATGAAAAATTGTTATGATATACAGTTATTCTTTTAAGCCCCTAGATTTCTCTTCAAAAAAAATTTTTTTTGCTTCTGTTAGTTACATATTTATCTGTAATAAAATATGTTTTATGTTCACTTCTTAAATCTTATAGGGGTGTCAACTTTATTTTTTTAAATGGTAACATATATTATTCATTAACATATATGTAATTATATAATTATATATATGTAATTTTTTTAGCATATTTATAATATTAAGAGAAATTGAGTGGATAATGTTAACAGAATAACGCTTATATACCACTTAGTACCTATCAGTCATAAAATTAAATATAGGTGACTTATGTAATTTAAAACTGCTTTAAGAAATATATATATAAACATATACATACAGGGCCCAGCATTCACTGATAATTTAAATAACTTTTCATCCAGTTAATTTTTTTTGCTAAATATATTTTTTAGCTTCGATGCGAAGCTGAAAAGGTATTAATTTTACCATGATGTGTGTGTTTTTTTTTTTTT